TTTTCCCCCCCCCACACCCCAACCCCCCCCCCCCCCCCCTCCTTCCCTTCCCACGGGCTCTTCTTCTCCTTCTTCTTCCTGGTAAACCCTGTGGGGGGAAGGAGGAATCTTTCCACACGCCATGGAGTCCATATTCTCAGGTCAGTTCCCATCTTTCCCTCCCTCCTCTTCTACGCACAATGCTGTTGATCTCCCCTGCTCGTTCCTCCATTTCCTTTCCTTTTTTTATGCGCGCCTTCTTCTTCCCACGCCTCCCCCAAACCCGCACGCCAAGACTCTCGTTTCTCCATTCACATTGGCCCCGCCGGTTTCTCTGTGCCTCCAGAGACTGTACATTTATATTTTCCTCTCGTCTTTTCCCCTGTTCTGTCTACATCGAGGATAGATTATTGGCAGCGCTGTTCTTTTAGATTTCAGCAAGTAAAGGTGACATCTAGGTTAGGACTTTTGAATATTTCTATTAGTTTGGTGTTCTTTACTCTTTGGTATTGCCTCTTGGATGCTTATGCGGTTGTGTCCAGCGGGAAGGAGGATCGACACTTCATAGATTGAGTGTAAGGTTTCCGTGATTATTCTGGTGAGACATGCATGATCGAGCACCTTGATTTGTCGTAATGCTGCTGTTTATAGGGAGTTTTTAACTGATGCATAGATGTCTTGACCATTTTGAAGCATAAAAGTTTGATCTTTTTTGTCAAATAAGCCTAGCGACTTTGATCTACTAGGTTTTTTTCTTTGAAAAGTTTGGATATGTGAATGAGGAAATACATTGTTGAAGGTAGGACTGAGACCTGCCAAAAGGTTTCCCATGCAAAAGTATAATTAGGTCCATTTATATATTTTTAATATAGCTAGAAAATGATGCCTTGCATGTTGCATTATTTGATCCTGCCCTCTTTTCTTAATATTAATTTACAATGCCTAATTGCCTGTTTTTTTTTTTTTTGCCATAATTTTTTGCCCTGCGACCTGTTCGGTCAGGGTTCCAACCATGGAAATACATCTCCTACTTACATTGACCTTCCTAAACCTCACATTGGTGGGAGAGCCTCATGCACTGGGTTTTTTCTTGGAATAAATGTGGTATAGTGTTGTAGGTTAGGTTTTCTAGAACAAAACTCTGTAGACAACGACATCAACACTAAGCTACAAAGTGGTGCAAACTAAAGTTAATTTGAGATATAAGTGCCAAGTGTTCATGAGGCCAACTTAAAAGCATATAACTAGATAAAACAAGTTTGACACTTATGATGGTGACTTAGAACTTATGAAAGATGGATGTCACTTCTGTCTGTATATATGTTCTACATTTGCTGAAAAATCTGAACCAGGCTAGTTTTGGATAGCAATCAAAGTTGCCCAAAGTATTGGGCTTTTGTTCCTATTGCTTCTATGGTCTGAGAGTCCAGACAGACAAAATTAGCTTTATTGAACCTTGCAAATAAGTCTTGGCACAAAAGTTTCTGTGAGTCAATGTGCAAATTTATTGAATCCACAATTTTGCAGTCGGAAGAGCTGGTGCTCCACCGAAACTATAAATCATCATCAAACCAGTTCACAAGAAGTGAATGCCATAACTAAACTACAAATGCTTTCTAGGAATTACATGTAGTTTCAAATGTCTTCCCTGAAACTTTCAACCAAATTTTGAAGTCAATGTGCAGTGTAGAATTTGCACAGTGCCTTTTTTAATATAAATCTTTCAGTGCCTCGGAGAAATGGCATCATTTAGTGAAAGAAAGCAGTTCTCTTACCTTAAGTATTAATAATTAGTTTATTAATTCTTTACTATTGACATAAATATAATGTTTGTAGTTCTTGGAAACTTTGTTGCTTTATATATATATATATATATATATATATATATATATATATATATA